AAATAGGTCCTTATGGACCCAGCTCCTTCTATTCTGGGGAGCGTCAGTCCGGTTCCTATTCCACCGGCAAGTCACAGCATAATACATTACAGAATAAGAACACACGCTTCCTCCCGTCCGACCGGAGGACCCCTGAACAACATTGATTACTCCGCCCTTGGTACTGTCAGCTGGCCTTGAGTCTCTCTTCCCTCTCAGATCTGCCCTAACAGCTCTGCCAGAAATCTCTGTTAAACCTAGGAAGAGATCCTCCCTTGCTGCCGTGTGACACTGGAGATCATCCTTAAACCAATGGAAGCGCAAGGCTTTCCCTTCCAATGAAGCCACCTTGCCCCCTGCTAGAACCTTTGTCCGAAACTTGTTAATTATTTCCTTAGCCTTATCTGGATTTAAATCCTCCTGTCTCTCCGCTTGCTTCTTGGCTCTCTGCCATTGTGCTCTGATTTCTGTTTCCAGCAGGTTGTACATTGTTCCTCTGGCTTCCATTATGGTCATATGGTTCTCTCCTACCACCCTTTGGCATCTTCTTTTCCACACTGTCCACAGCGCATAGAGCCTCAGTAGCCGGAAAATGTATTTATGGCTGGAATTCCAGCCTCTGGCGCTTCCATGTTGATTAGGAGTCTGTCTCTGATCGAAGGGAAGGGAACTTCTGTGACCCGGGACCATAGTGTGCGGGCTAACGCCCACACCTTCTCTGCCTCTGGACATGAGATTAAGCAGTGGACCATTGTTTCCGGAGCCCCACCCGTACACAAGGGACAGTTTCGTTCCTCCTCTGTCCTAGCTTGCCTGCTTCTTCTTTCATATAACCAAGAGTTGACTGGGAGGGCCACGTGGAGGATGAGCCACTGTAGACTTCTGACCTTACCCAATCTTATACTGTGAAGGGACGACCAGGGCAACTTCCCCACCTGGTCTCTTGGTATCCCCTCCCTCTTTTCCCATCTTAAGGCTAGGGGAAGATCCAGTTGGGTCGATCTTCTCCTCAGCCTATAACCCAGTCTCGTTGTGTAGCGAAGAATGTTGATCTTTGTTGCCACTCGTGTCTCTCCACCCCTAATATTCCATGCCCATTCCGCCGGGTCGCACTCCAAATCTTCAATGGCCACCGTGGGTGCAAATACTGTAAATTCGTCATCCTCTACCACCCTGATCTTCCTGAGCAGGCACTTCTTAACTGTGATTGCCGTCTTGGATTCCTTATCCAGGTGACTCACTGTGAATCCCGAATTACGAATTACGAACATCTCTGCATCCAACCACTGTTTATCGGGGCCCACTTCCTGCTGCACCTGGAAGGCCTGCTCTGGAACTGCACTTATGTGCCAGGTGGCCCAATCACCCCACTCCCATTTGCACAGCCCTCTCAACAACTGCGTCCATTCCTGCGGAATGGAGATTAGAACGTCGTTTAGATTCTCCGTGAGCTTATGGCAACCTTTCATCGTGGCTCTCAGTTCCCTCCCCGTCTTCCATCTATTGTCATTCTGGGACCATAAGTGCTTGATCTTCCAGACCCCGTGTTCCAACCAATTCCCCCATCTGGTATCCCTAGCTGTTAGTGTCCTCGGCTTCCCTTGGGAGTCCAGTAACCAGGGGTTACAGAATAAGGGTTGCCTGAGGACTTCCTCCTTGGATCTAGGTTTCCGTACTCTAGCCGAGAATATCTCTTCCCATATCCTGAGAATCTGGGCCGAGTATGATGGGGAGGAAGTTCCCTCCTCACCCCCCCGCTCCCTTGTCCTACCCCTTTTTGCCCATCCTTTGCAGAATATCCAAAAGGTGCCCTCCATATTTGGAGGAGTTGAGTACTTCGCAAGCCCTCGTATGTGCTCCAATACTAGGGGAACCCAGCGCAAGTGGGGTTGCGTTACCAGCGTGATAATCCATTTCGATTGGAGTGCCTTAATCTGCTGCTCGGGATCCAGGATGCCCAGGTCCCCCCGATTCTTTGTTTGTGTTACCTATTTCCAGGCTACCTTGGAAATGAAGTTACCTTTTGTTGGGTTCCCTGTCCACAGATAGGCTGCTGCAACCCTTCAGGGCCTTCGAAGTGCTGGTCCTGGGGGTGACCACAGGGTGCCCGCGTACCATAGCATGGAGAAGATGGAGGCATTGAGGACCAAGGCTCTCCCGTACAGGGAGGTATAAATGGTAGACCATGCGTCCAGCTTAGCTAGCATTTTGGTCATCTGATTAGGGGCCATGGAGTGATGGGGGCCCTCGTCCGCTAGCCTAATCCCCAAATACCTCAACGGTTGGTGTGGAGGTAGCCACTCCATTCCCCCATGGTCAGGGGGTTGGGGCTGCTGGTGCTGCTAGTCGTATATGAACCACCATCCTATCGTTTTGGGCCAGTTAATTCTCATTTCCGATGCCAACTGGAATGCTTCCATCGCTTTTGTGAGTGCTTGAAAAGAGGAATCCGTGGCCCTGATGAGTACTGTGAGATCGTCTGCGAATAGTATCGTGGTGGGTAGTTCTATTATACGCCCCTGCTGGTCCGGTTCTGCTATCAAACGGTCGATTGAAGGGTTTTTCCTAAGGAATGAAGCTATGGCTTCCATGATAAAGAGGAAGATGGGGGCGGCTAATGGGCCACCTTGCCTCACTGATCTAGTCATTCTATATCTATCCGAAAGATATCCGTTGACTTGTACCTGGCCGTGTGAGTCGTTGTATAATACTCTCACCCACTTGCGCAAGTTGGGACCTACTCCCATTTTCTCCATACATTGCTGTAGAAAAGGCCAGCTGACCTGGTCATATGCTTTCTCGAAATCAAAGAAGAGGATGGCCGCGTTCATTCTTTTGTTCGCTATGTACCTCACCAATTCCGATACAGTCATTACGTTTCCAAGATGAATCTCCCTGGGATAAAGCCTATTTGATCCAAGTGGAAGCAGTTGGTCATTAGCCTCCTCAAGCGGTTCGCTAAGGCTTTGGCCACTATCTTGTGTGTTAGTGTCAGGAGCGTAATCGTTCTGTAGTTTTTGATGTCCCTGGGGTTTCCCTTCTTGTACAATAAGGTGACTACCCCTGTTGATGATTCTGTTCCCATGCCTTCGTTGATCCATGCCTGGCTCAAGAAGGCTTCCTATTCCCCTCCCAGGATTTCCCTGTACTCCTGCCAGAACTCCCTTGTTAGTCCATCCCTGCCCGACGTTTTGTTTGGAGGCGAAAATCAGAAAAAAACAGAACTTTGAACTTTGAAGTTAGACTTTATACTTCATATTCATATGAAAATTGAAAATTTAAACTGTTAAGTTATTCAGATCTGCGTAAGAAGTACTAAGAACAGATATGAGATCTGGTCAGGACCAGATCTAAGACGGGATCTCAGATCTGACCAAAATCTTCTCTCTTTCTCTCTCTCTCTCTCTCTCTCTCTCTCTCTCTGTATATATATATATATATATATATATATATATATATATATATATATATATATAT